GTCTGTCCGTCTGTGTTGTCTCTCTAGCCTCCCAGTGTGTGCCTACGTATCCGCCACAAGGTCCGTCCCCTCGCCGATCACATACTGAGGCAGACAGCACATGCATTTGACCCGCACATCAGTCAGGGGAACACGGGACTCTCACTCAGAGCGGACGGCACGAAAGCATGTGTGTGGCTGGCTACCTCTCTCTCTCTCTCTCGGTTGGCTGAGATCAGTTGGTTGTCTGGTGTGTTTGGCTGCGCGTATGGATGGCTGGTATGCTTCGCGTGTGGGTTTGACCGTTACCAGAGAGAGGACATCCGCACCATGACACTTTCGTAACAGAATGGCATCCAAAATGAAAAGGTAACCCCGAGATAAAGCCGACTGGTGGGACCCCCATTGCAGCGGCAGCGGGTGGGAAAGAGGGTGGGGAGAGGGAGGGAGACGATGGTTCCCCTTAAGGGGAGTGGGGGATTTGGCGGGAGGGTTGGGTAGCCTCTGTGCGATTAGAACGGCGTCCTCTCCCATGGGGAGAGCTCCAGCGGCTCACTACAGGACAAGCCAATCGTGTGTCCCAAGAGGCAGATAAAGGCCAAAATGCTCACGATCTCGAAGACTTGAGCTATCCACAAGCGAAAGCCGACAGAGGGGAACATCATCGCCAGAGGGTGAGGGTAGGGAACACGGGAGGGAGACGGGAGGATCAGGGCTGCTTCTGCCGCGGGGTACTGATGGTGGATGGAGGGCGGAGTTGCAGAATCAGGTGCCTACCACGGCGTCCGCTCTCGTGGGTCCAGCCATCGTGGGCCGCCACAATCAGACCCGAGGGCATACTTTAGGCAGCACAGAACCCCGACAACCATGAGAGAATCGACAATGAAGGCAAGCGCCGAGAGGAAGCCGACAGGGGGGAACACCATCGCTGCCTTCCTCCAGACGACAACGCCGTTCGCGGCGGGCGGGTGGGAAAGGGGAGGGTGGGGGACAAGCCGGCTGCTTGTGCAGCGGGGCTGAGGGGAGGAAAGAGAAGGAACGGCTGAGTGATTCAGTGGGAGACGCTCGGGGCGCAGCGCCACTCGTATTCCCCCACTTGGATCAGGTACCACACTCGTGCGCAGAAATCCTGAACGTAGTCGAGTATGCCGAGGATACAGTAGACGACGAGGCCAATGTCGATGAGCGAAACCACATCAAGCATGGTTCTCTTCTGCTGGTGCCACGAAGGGAGCCGCTGTGCGCTTAGAAAGGAGTCCCTTCCCATGGGGAGAGCGTCAGCGGCTCACTACAGGCCAAGCCAATCGTGTGTCCCAAGAGGCAGAGAAAGGCCAAAATGCTCACGATCTCGAAGACTAGGGATATCCACATGCAGAAGCCGACAGGGGGGAACACCATCGTTGCTTTCCACCGAGCACAGCGGCAGAGGGCGAGGAAGAGCCACAGGAGGAAGGGAGGACCAACTGGCTGCTTGTGCTGGGTGCTGAGGGCGGGGGGG